CCCAATTATCAAGAGGAGAAGTCAAAAAGTAATAATATACATAGTTCAGACTCTGAAGAAGAAGGTGCCAGCACTAACAAATGAAAATATAACATGTTTACATTTGAGGTATTTAGGTTGAAACACAAATGATGTTTTTGGTGACAAAATGTGAATAACTACCAAAATTTACTTACAGTCCTCAGACGCGCACGTGCTTATTCACTAAACGTTTCCCGTCGACTAAAGCACACTCCCGCACAACCGGGAAGGTGTCTTAAAGATGCGTTCGAAAATACGTTGTTCAGTAATAAAATTTAACCCATTAACCCAAATTAAAACGAGTAATGTTTTTATTAATATAACTTTATTAATAGGTTACTTAGGCACTATAAAGACGTATTGAAATGTTAAAAAGAAAATGAAAAAAATAAAAAACAATATTTGGAGCCGTACTTTTTATAGTACAGCGGGCGCTTATGCATGATAATTGGCGAAACAATCTTTATCAATACACAATGTCTTCTGGCACTGGCTACACTGCCATTTTATACGCGTGTGACACAAAATACATCTTAATTGTTTGGGCAGCTTCTTAGGGTTATGTCCGTTGTTTTTTGGGCAAGGTCCTGCTATTTCAGTACCGGATGGACGGCTTTTGATAATGTTGTTACGCTGTAGATAATGTCTCGCTACGTGTCGCCGAAAATCCAGCTGGTCAAAGCGTTCTTCACTGCTCATACATACTGTGCAGGCGCCAAGCGTTAGATACACACATATCAAGCAAGTAGGTGAAAATAGACCACCACCACTTTTTTCCACGTATACTCACTCGATACATTGAAATAGATGCATCCATAACATCGACGCCGCCCATGCATTTGTTATAGGTTTGAAATAGATGTGGAATATTCACATCAACCTTCTGTCTGCTTTGTGAACACCACCGTTTGACTTTTCCCATAGGTTCAACTGTGTCGAAATTCGTACCAATAGTGCATACACTGTTGTCCTTCCATCTGACAAGCAAAACCTCGTTTTTTGTATCAAACCGGTAATCAAATTGAGCTCTTTCAGATTTTTTCATGTCCTTCACGGAAATAAGAGGGCATTTTTTGTCCGATTGTCTCTTATTGTTCCCGTTGCTCTGAACCCACTCTCTTTTAGTTTGATAAACAAGTCATAACTAGAAAAGAAGTTGTCAAAATATATGTTATGCTCAGCAGGTACTAGTGGCATTTTATCTAACAATGAGGTAACCACTCGAGTACCGAGCGGTGTGTTCGTAGCTTCAATAGATTTGCCACAGTATTAATCAAATACATAGCAGTAACCATCAGCACTAGCGGCCACCCAGTTTTTATAACCGAATCTGATCGGTTTACCCCTGATGTATTGTTTTGATGGATAATGACCGTAATACTTTATCATCGATTCGTTTATCGATATGTCTTCATGGAGAACACCATTTTGACAAAATTTTTGATTTAGGGATTCAACCAAGGGCCTGACTTTGAACATCTGGTCATTTGAAGTAGATGCTAAACTATTGTCTACTAAATGCAGATTTCTTTTTATATCAAGGAATCTGTTTCGAGACATGGACCGGGCAACAAGAGGTACTCCAAGATCTTCGTCATAACTCCAATACTGACGCTCTCTCGGCAATCTGTGATATCCTGATAAAATTAGAATTCCCAAAAATCTGCGCAAATCTTCTCTATCTAACACAAATCCATGTCTATTATTTTGTCCTGCATAAAGCTGTGTGTTACTTAGGATCAAATCATAAACTTCAGCATCAAATATTCTATCAAAGACTTCTACTGGTGAAAGATTTTTTAGCTGTTCGATTAGTTGAGTTTCTTGTGATGAACGTGTACTATTTTCATATGGTTGGGAAAAAGATGAATAAGCTGGTGAACATTTCCTCCACGTCGGTAAAACATCACTTGCATTGGGACGCCTTCTTTTGTTCGACAAAGGTTCATCGTCACTATCTTCCCATTCGGACGTTTCAGATGAATGACGTCGTCGACGTGTTACCTCGATTGTTCCAGGAATATCTTTCGGTAGTGTTGACGTTTGTAAGTCCTCTTCTCCTTCTTCTTCGTCCGTCAATACATCAGGTCCGGGCGGTAAAATAATAAGGTCATACTCGTTATCACTCTCATCCTCCTCAATGGCGTTTACAGCTTCCTCAAGCCCGCGATAATGATTTGCAGCACTGAATCGCTTCATTTTTTTCTGCAAATATAATATAACACTAAAGCCCACTGTACTAAAAAAACGACATCAAGGTATATCGTAATCCAACTCACAAGATACGTGATAAATTTTAGATATTTTGTCTAATACAGTAACT